GTAGGAAGGCCGTTCGTGTACCAAACCCTGTCCCTGACGCTGTATGGAGCTGGTCGATGTTTTGCATTGTAGGAACGCTTCATGCCGTGAAGGTAAGCGAGGTTCGCGTTTGCAGCGTCGCAGTTCACGCGGACGTCGCCGACCTCGTCGGGAAGCGGGAAAAATTCCATTGGTCGACGTGGGACAAAGTTGAACAGGAGTTCGAACGGTGATGTCTGGAGTGCGGCGTACGGCTGCTGGTTCACTCGAAAGCATGTTGCCTGGAGATAATCGCTCCAGTGGTCGATGTCGCCGTTGACGTTCTTTCGCGCAGACATGGAAGGATTTTTCCGTTGGCGCGTTCAACAAAGTTGTTAGCTTCGGGAGCGTAAGGTACTGTTAGGGATGCTCTGAATGTGCCTGTCAGCGAAGTATCGCGAAGCCGAACGAGAGGTTAGGACCCTGTCGTTGTGGGTCATGACGGCTTGCGGCGTACCGAATGAGTACGAGTTCTGTAAATCGAAGGACGTGCTCGGTCGACTTGTTAGGCATGGGGCGTGCGACAAGCGCGTGGTGAGGCGGAACGCGGTGATAAAATACCTGTTGCCGTCGGTCCTCGTCTTGCGAAGGATCTTGCGCCGCGGCTGCCAGCCGGCGACATATTCTCTTACAAATGAGAATAAACAAGACTAACGGACGCACTCTTCACAGCGAAAGCAATGTATACCCCTCCATAAAAAAATGAAATAAAAAAGTGTGTTCCTTTTTATGGTATTTCCATCTTGCTTTCCAAATTCAAACGACTCCTTTCTCTCTCCCCCTCACTGTCTAATTTACACCCCCCCCCCCCCCTTTCCCTCCCTCTTCCGCGCCGCGCCGCCGCCGATCCGTTGATCCCCGCGCCGTCAACACGCCGCCGCCGGAGGTTCAAACACCGGCGCGCCGCCGCCGGCGATTTCTGACCGGCGCACAGGTCTAGCCCGCGCCGAGCGCTCGCTATTTGCCAGGGGAGGGGCTATTAAAGTTTCGCTGTTGCTGTCGTTGTTGTTTTCAAAAATCTCTTAAATATTTTGCGATTCAACTAGAGAAGAGCTAGCCGAGACGATCATTCGGCAATGCGTGATTTATTTTTGTAGGGACAAAAACACGGTAATTTTTTTCCTGTGGCACCCTGTCCTTCAATAACCGATCGCTGAGATATCTGGAGGCATTCGGTGTTTATTGCTTTCCGCAGAGTCAGTGTTTTGCGGCGTTTATTTCTGATGTCGAGCTAAAATACGGTGTTTCTCGGGGCTTATGTTGAAGCAAACAGGACACGCCAAAGGACTTCTTCAATCACCGGGGTGCAAGAAACCGGCCCGAATGCTTGGGAAAACGTTTCGGCACCGATAAGAGAAGGACAGCAAAGAAGGGCTCTGGCTCCCGATGGCTGAAGCAGGTTCACGTATAGTTCAATGTGGACTGTCTTCCGGAAACTACACAAAATAAACCTGCCGAGAAAAATATCTTTTCATGAAGCTTGATTTTTTTTTTTTTTTTTCATGAAGTGCAGTGTGTACTTGGGGGCATTCCCTTTTCTCTGATTTTGATCAATCCGTTTGGGAGTTACATTTCTGAGTTTACCTCTGTATACCGAAAAACACGGCTCCCGGTTTATAAAGGAATAGGATCTAGAAAACAATATTTCCTCACTTTATACAGATATAAAAGCATTATTTGACGCCTTCATGAATAATCAACTTATTTCGTCCCATATTGCGTAAAATAAAAGAGGCGTTTTTTTATTTGTTTTTTTCGCGCTTCCTAATTGAGCAGGAAAATCAGGTTTTGCGAAATACATTGGATAGGGTCCAAACCATATCCTTCACTTTCGTTTATAATGTTTCGCCATAGCGAAGTTGCTCGCACAGCTCTCTTGGTTTTTTTTTTTTTTTGTCGTTCAACAGGAGCTTCGAGAAACTCCAGCGTCGAAGGGATAGCCATTCATGCGAGTATTTCCCCGTATATGCTATTTATGCGGAAGTTTTTATCTCGATACCATTGTTTTCGCTTTCCTCGTGAATTAGCTTCAGCTTAGAGGCTTGCGTTTCTTAACCGTTTGTTTTATTTTAGCTTTAAAACGAGTCTCGTGTGCAGCAACACTGAAAAACGTCGCGTGAATCTTGATGTCCGCGGCGATTTTCGAAGCACGGGGTTAAGAAATGATGGGTTCCAGAAATGTCGTCTGCAAAGGGTTGCTGAAGATATAAAACGAATGTCGCAGTATACGATGTTTTTGAAGCATTATTCTACGCTGAGCGTCATGGCAAGATCGCGACAATTTCACTTTCACGTTAAGAGAGAAAAAAAAAAAAAAGCAAATAGTTGTTTGTGATTCGACAGTTTAAGGTCGGTCTCGGACAGCCTTCGAGATATGGCGGCACTTCATTAGGAGGGTCCCGACTCCCTTGATATATCTCTCAGAAGTTCTTCGAAAATATCATTGTTTGCGCTGTCGATGAGAAACTTCACAGTGCAGTAAACTTGCTATACTTATTTTCCGCTTAAATTCACGCGCAGTCGATGCTACGAGCTAAAGGAGACCGATCAGGCACCCTTAAAAGCGCAAGTCACTGGGCCTTCTTTGTTTATGATTGGTTCAGCGGTGATAGAGCACGTACAGAAACACGACGAGCACCATGATGGTGCTCTTTGGACGTCTGATTGGTCCCAGTAGCTCGTACCGTTAACTCCGTCTGGACTTGAGGCAATACCAAGTATAAAAAGGCAGCTGGGCGATGAGAGTTGTGATGGCGAAGAATCGCTCGAGGCGCTTGACGTGCATCCTGCAGTTATTGAGGGATCTAGAAGGCCGTTCCCGATACCCCCGGTAACGATACGATGCATGCGCAAAGGCGAAGCATTGGGTGACGTTATCGGAGTCATCTGAACGATCTACTAAAACTCTGTAATAATACACGACCGCACGCCAGTACGACGCTCACCTATATCGAAACGGCCAGGTGTAGGAATTGAACCCAGGAATCCTGGGCTCTGCAGCGCGAGCTTTCGTTCTACGTGCTACGAGCTGCGATGCGCTAACGAAGTCTGCCATCGACCCCTCAACCTCAGTGTTCTTTATGGTAAAACGTTGTGCTCTGGAAGACAATGTCTGCAAGAGAAACGGAAGTGTCACCTCAAAGTAGGGGTCGGCGTAAGTGTCCGGTGTCAGTTTTGTTAACTAAGTGTTTAAGGTTTGCAGCGGTTTGGCCTTGCAGCTGCCCGTAGGGAGGTACGACACCCGGAATCCAGTTCAAGAAAACAAACGGTTATTACCTTTCGGGTTCCCCGCGGCGCCTGCCACTGGGCAGAGTTGGCCTGAAGCCTGGTTCAGACAGTTGCGTTTGACTTCGTTTGACTGCGTTGCGGCTGCGAGAAACCAGGACATCCCCGCTGCTTAAATCACGTGCCAAGATGATTCTTTTAATTGGACTCTACGCTCCATACGAAGCACAGATGTGCCGGTGACTCGCTTTCGGTTCTCGACGCAACGCAGTCAAACGCACTCAAAGGCAAGTGTCTGAACCGGCCTTGACTCTTATAGCGGGATGTGCGGTGCTTTCACGCTCCCCTCCCGCTTGAGCGTGCGAGCGCCCCCACACTTTCCTCCCCTCTGGGTGCGCGCGTACTAGGCGTCGTCGTCTTCAAAGATGACGTCGTCCAACTCTCGGAGGAGGTGCGGGCGCAGTCGGCGGAGTAAGTTCAGTGCCCTGTCCAGGTCCGCGTCCTGCGGCACGTGGGCGGCTGGTGCCTGCTGCGCGCCGACCCCTCGGGCGCAGCAGGCCGGCCCTATGTGTGGGCCAGTGAATTTCTGGTACCCCGCAGACTTCGCAGAGCAGGGCGCTTTCTTCCGGGGCATAGTGTGCCCGGGGCTCCGTGGGGTGCCGGTCGGTGATGGTCAGGCGTCGAAAGGGTTCCGGGACTCGACCGGCCGGTGTTCCCGTCGGGACCTGGGGCTGGTCATCCCATGCAAGTCGCGACCACCAGCCAATGGCGGACCCGTCCGGGGTCAGAGCGGTCCACGTGGCAATGTGTTCTGTGGGGCGCGTGGGCGCGGGCTGGAACCGGTATGATGCTGCCCGAAACGGCTGCCGGCCCCTCGGAACGAAGGGTCCCAATCGCGACGAGCGAGCGTCTCGGCGTCCAGAACCCGGTTGGCGGTCGTGAGGCATGTCCTACGCATGTCAAAGGTATTGTTAGCAAGTGAAGGAGCACAGTGGATAGCGCGACTCGACCATAGTGAGGGCAATGGTAGGGTTCAATTCATTCGGAAGAACCAAGAAACACCCCCCCCCCCCCCCCAAAAAAAAAAAACAAAAAAAAACGAAGGTGAGTATTTTTTCTCTCCGCAAAGGACCCAACTAGAACCCAACCGGAACCGTGCACTTTAGAATTATTTCCTCCTGGTTCAACCGGGCTGCGCTAATCTGTAACGGCACCAGAATATAAAACGATATATTTTCTTTAGGGCGCATAGTTTTATTTGGAAGTATTTCTGCCATTCAGTACAGTTCAATTTTAGTTAAATTATTAGGGAAAGCAGAACTTTCAAAATTTTCCACTTTGCTCAGTACACAAGTGTATTTTGCTTGTTTATTATGACGAGGTCGAGTATGTTACTGAGGGAAAAGGGTAAATAAAAGACGAAGCCTATTTTTGCACTTTGCAAATCCAATACACGAGGTGTGCTTTTTTTTTATATGCTTGATTATTTTCCAAAGTGCTCATGCAATGTTCAAGCCTTGTGCAATCGGATATGTAGAACCTCAGTCGAATTAAAACCGCCGGCACAAGAGTAGCAGTTTTAAACACTGGAGGAAAAGGGGGAGGGGGAGTGCGATGGGACGTTTGCGAAATGTCTGATGAAAAACGCTGGCAAAATCTAGCAGCTCTGATCACAAGATGCGAGTATAAATTGTAAAGACTACAATGCACGTGTACTTGCAGGAGTTCATCGTCACTGCGTGAGCACAAGAGGCAGCATGATTCGTACCCTTGCCCTGGTCACGGCACTCGCGATTACGGTAAGTGCCAATCATATTGTAAGGCGCGTGTTCGAGGTCGAAATCTTATAATCACGTTACTTTCGTTAATACTCTTATGTCTGGAATACACTGCAGGAGTACGAGATACACCGCAGTATTATTCTATTAAGAATTTACGAACAACAGACTGCGCAGATTCAGCGCGGTAATAACCAACAACCTGAGGAAAGCCGGGCTTTGCGAGTCCCAAGCAGTACAATGCAAAGCGCAAGTTCGTCTGCTTCTCGCCCAGGGGTTGCAGTGACGCCAGAACACCGAGTTCTGATTGGCTCCGACTGGAAAGATAGTGGGTAGACCTCAACGCTAGCTGCCTTGAGGCCTACCCATTACCCTTACAATCGGAGCCAATAGGGGCTCGGCGTACTGACGTCACCGAAACCCTTGCAAAAGAAGCAGACGACCTTGCACTCCGCATATCACTCCGCAGCCAACAACACATCTTTATTTACAAATTTCCTGCTTACGTCATACGTGTATCACTTGGTGGCAGTGTTGTATGCGTTACCGAAAAAAAGTAACTAAATACGTTACTCGTTACTTGCAAATAAAAGTAACGCGTTACAGACCTACGTTATCTCAAAATAAAAGGAACGCGTTACCGTTACCGTTACTGATAAAAAGTAACGCACGTTACTGTTGCGTTACTTTGTATTCACGAACTAGAACATTTGCTGTTTCGACGTTTGATATGTGCGTAAGCGCCATAGCTAAAATATGTCCATGCGGAAACTTAATTACCCTCTCATTTTTAGGGTTTCACCCGAATAGTTACAAGAAAAAACGCGGAAGTATATATGAAGCTGATTTATAACATGGAAAACGGGAAAGGGAATGACACGAAGGTGTCATTCTCTTTCCCAGCGGGAAGCAAAACTCAGGCTTCGACGCAGGAATCTCCCAAATCCACCCGAAGCCGGACCTCTTTGGCCTTCCAGCCGAGGCGACGGCGGTAGCGAGGTCAACGAGCCGCGGGAGAAAACCAGTGGCAGGTGGCGTGTGACGTCAAATCTGACGAGCACCGACGTCAAAGAAAAGTGGAGGACAGCGGCATTTTTTGACAAAGGAATTTATGACTGAACACTTAAAAAACAAAAAACAAAATTAAATTTTTTTTTTAAGTTTTAGGAAGTAAAGTAACGTAACGTAATTTCGTTACACGTTACTCAAAATAAGTAACGTAAGTACGTTACCCGTTACTTCTTTGGAAAAGTAACGAGTACGTTACTATGTCACCAAAAAAAGTAACGCGTTACCGGTAACGCCGTTACTTGTAACGCGTTACCGCCAACACTGCTTGGTGGGCTCTTTCGCTTTGGGGATAGTAACTCGCTATTTTGGTTCGTTTATATTTCTCGTCTTAAAAACCCAGAAACCTTTAAAAGAAATAAAACTATACGCGGAGACTGGGTATAAAAGAAATTCTCCCCATTCTGTAAAAGCTAGGTTCTTTGCAACTTTTTAACACCCTTTATTGGTGTGTAAAAACCAATATTAGTATATTTCCAGTGTAAAAGTATCCATTCGAGATTAAACAAATAAACAATAATCAGTTAGATCGACGAGTAGAGCTGGATTTTGAATATATAACATCACAACCGTATATATAATGACAACTGCCTTTAAATTTGTGGGTGACTGCTCAAGACTTTCACGATGAAGAACTGCAAATGATGTGGGGACGTGTTTTCTGGAGAACGAGGAAGAAACTTGTTCTTAATTAAATCATTTCTGTGCTGGCTATGAGACGCTGTAGTCCTTGTCCCCTCTGTTCCTGGTCTCAAGGTTTCTCATTATGGACGTGCACCAGCTCGCCTTCGTTTTCACTCTAATTTCACAATCAAAACCTGGTTTATTAGAAAAGTTCTGAATCGTTTTGCGTGAGTAATTCAATATTTTTAAGATAAATAAATGAGATTACTAATCTTTTATAAAACTATAGTTGGTGACTGGGAAAGAGTTTAGGAAAAAATTTCCCACACCTTTTCACTTCAACACAGCAAATGCCGGAGAGGAGGTGACTTCCTTACCAGTGTTTGCTCTGCTGACATGGAAAGGCGTGAGGACGTTTCGGACTCTTAACCTGTTAATGACTGTAATATAGAAGTTGAAACATCCCAACATAGGAAAAAAGATAAGCACACTACTTCTGGCATAACAGCTTGCCAATGCACTCAGTTTTAAGAATTTTTGGAATATCCATGCTCTGTCACAGTAAACAAACTACGAAGAAGCTCTCGATACAAGCGGGTTCGAACTTAGCGGTGCAATGTTTTTTTCTTAAATTCGGGAAAGGGGGGGGGGGGGGGTCCTTTCACGTAGTTTTCAAGTTTTAGCTGACTACTTGCATCTCCAACGGCGTGCATTGGATCTCCAATTTTTTTCCCCTTCACATATTGGCCGCCAGGCCACGCCAACTTTAGCTGCACAGTTGGATGGGAGGTACCTCACCGCTTCCCTCCTTTACGTCTGTCCTGATGGGAAGCGTCGCCTCCTCTGGAGTGGCGAAGAGGGAACATGCTGGCGGTACCACTGTGTCGTACTGTTTTAGTTCTGACGTCGGCGTGCCCATTTCCCGCCATTCAGGTGAAGTGCCAAGACGACAGGAGGCCGTTTTACGTCATCGGTCACATGGTGAACTCCATCCCTCAAGTGAGCCAGTTCCTGGAGCTCGGTGCCAACGCCATCGAGAGCGACGTGCAATTCAGCAAAAGCGGCACCGCACTTAGGACCTTCCATGGACTTCCGTGCGACTGCCTGCGAAGATGCAAGCAGAGCGCAAATATCGTGGATTACTTTCAGTACATCCGGAACGTCACCGGGTTCAGTAAGATTTTCCGTCCAGAGCCAATTTTAACGCGATATACTTAAGCGGTTCGTGTCGCAGGAAAGCCGGCATCGGCGTCGGTGGACTTGAAACGGGAAAATCGTGATTGGTCGATAGGGTCATGACGGCAAAGCCACATGACCTCGCGCGGGAGTTTCAAACCCACAACCCTCACGTGAAATGTGACGTCACGCGCGGAATGAAAGTGATTAAGACATGATATGGGGGGGTAATGCGAATTATGGGTAACCTTATGTCTGAAATAATTTCACCTTATAAAACAATTAATCCGCTTTAAAGAGAAATATCTAAGAATTTCAGGCGGGATTCGAACGCACGACCCTTCGGTTGCGAGCCATATACGCTACTGATTACGCTTGCATGACTTGGAAACGAGCGGGAGTTGATGTGTTTCGCCTATCGCGTTCCACTCTTTTTTCACACCGTGACCGACGGTCTTAGCTGCGACCAACGGCGTCGGTTGATATCTTCGGCCACAGTAAACCTGTACACCAGTAAACCGTGAAGCAGCGAGCAGGCAGTCTTCCAAAGCAGTATAAATTAGATTGATCCGTGTTGCACAAGTCACATGAACCTTTTTCGAGGAACATTTATTAATTCGGATGATAGACTGCCTCGAGAAATGTCCGATCATCTAATATTGTAGAAGGCAAATAAAGCCAGGGCCTCTGGGCTTCTAACCTGCAGATCTTTAACGTTCATCGCGCTTTAGTGGTCAGGTGAATAAATGCTGGTAGAAGTACAAAATGGTTATTTATATAATTATATATTCAAAACACCTCGCAGGTCCGTTTCTGGACATTACATAATAAAGAGGGAGGGATTTAGTGAAAGTAGACTATAAGCAATTTTAAAAGCAGATACATAAAACGAAGGATTTCGCGTTTTCTCAGCCGTGAACAATTTTAGCAGCAACACAACGCAATTTCTACATTTTAACACTCTTTTAGGAAGAGCGCTGCTAGCAACACAAGTCGTGCTTTGTACAAAAATGTAAAAGACTATTTAGGCAAGACCCATCGCGAGAAATCAAAGCTATAAGGCACTCAAGTAATCTAGGGTAGCAGCTCGAAATGTAGCATGGTCATAAAGTGAGGTTATGTTGTCAGGGAGACTTTACGTCTATTCCTTTTTTTACCCCTCTTATCTAGAGTTCAGTCCTCCGCCGACACGGATGATGCTCATGTACAACAAGTAGTTTAACCCTCACGTGGGCTTTTTTTATACCTTTTGAAAAGTTCAAGAATAGTATAGTGGTTAGGATTGCCGTGTAGTTTGTTTAGTTCAGTGCCGTTTTATAATGTGAAGTGTAACCCTAAAAAAGGCCCCTAAAGCTGTTTGGGAAACATAATAAAACTCCAATTGATATATTGATTGATTGATTGATTGATTGATTCCAGTTCATAACTGCGCGTGGCAACGGAGTTATTGAAAGCAGATGTCCAAAATACTCTTATAACTCTGACTGTTAGTTAGATGGTGTGATGTTCGGTTAGGGGGCTCAAGGAGCTGGGCGATAACTCTGCGGTTTGTAAAGCGTGATTTGTGAATAATGCATGGGAGGGCAGCGTTGCGACGCATCTCGAGTACCTGTAGGGGGATTGTGTTTTTAAAGAAATAGGCACTTGTATGCCGGGAGTAAGATGATGTTATACACCGTGCAGCACGATTTTGGAGGCTTTCAATTTGATTATTAAAGTATTTCTGGTGGGGATTCCATACGGTAGAAGCAAATTCAAGTAAGGGCTAATCGTGTGTTTTTATGCTAACTTGCGTAGGTGAAGGGAGGCAATGTAAAGGTGGCGTCGTAAATATCCCAATGTTCGGGATGCAGAACTGGTAATATCGTTGTTGCGGTTAGTCCCAGATAGGTCACTAGAAAGATCAACGCCCAAGGCCAGAAACTGTAAAAGAGAGAGGTTTAGAGAACTAAGGTACCAATGTGATATAAATCAGGTGATAGTTCTCTAAAAATTCATTATTATCATAAAAATGTGTAAAAAAATACAAAATTTGGCGAAGCTGGTAGGAATAATTTGAAAAGGAATCGCATATTCGTGTCCTACTGGCTGCCGACGTTTCGCCAAGAAACTTAGTTTCTTCGGGATGCCCTGAAGGAGCAATGTAAGCTAGCAAAATGCGGGCTACCACTGTAAGACTTGCAGGTGGTTCATTAGGTATATCACCTACACTTCGTTTTTATGATGAACCTAAAGGGTTATCCCAACAAGTTATTCAACGGTGACGCCTTTATTCCTATTTATTAAGAACTATATAACTGTTTACATTTTTGTTTTCTAAGTTCGTCCTCTGCGCGCCATAATCCGCCAAATTTTAACGCGCTGCTTTTTTGACGGCATACTTGAAGAAAAAAAAATGCAGCGATTAAAATGCGCTTTCATCGCTTTCGCTCACTACTGGTTGTTGGTTTTAAGATGCAACTAACAAAAAACTGAAACTTGAAACGTGAATTTTAATGGGGGTTTTAGTTAGATCGGGACATGGTGCAAGGCTATAGATGTCCCAAATTATTTAGAGAAGTAATGTTTGTCGACGTTTTCAACAGTGTGCTCATCAAATTTTTAATTGAAAACATTTAGACTCACTAAAAAAACTAATAATTAGAACATTGTTTACCACTTTAATGTACCAGCAAACTCACCTCGTTATATGTGTAGTTCCCTTGTCGTTGACCAAAACGTCATTAACCTTTTCTTCTTTTTTTTGTGTGTGTGATGGGTATTTTATGTTTAAACTTTTACTTTAATTCTTTAAAAAAAACTGTATACTTCCTGTAAAAAATGTATAGTCATATTGTTGCCCTAAAGTAATAACGTTGTTGTGTGTAATAAAGTAGCCTATAAATAATGCATATAAAAATTAATTCCTGCATTAGTTTTTGTGTCTTAAAACCTGAAACATCGTTAAAGTGCCTGCCATCCCAATAGGAATAACCGCAAAATACATCCAAAGAATCTCTCCTTGTTTAATGTTTTGTATACTTATTCCGTTTGCTCCTAATATATTTTTTCAGGACACAGCCAATATAGCGAAAAACTTCTGCTCGTCTTTCTGGACCTCAAAGTATCCAAACTACCTCCGGGGAGTAAATACGGCGCTGGAGTCGACATCGCCACCAAGCTTGTTCTACATCTCTGGGACGGAGGTTTGTGTGGCTAAATACCAATCCTCCCACACAGCAAAACAAAACACAAATTCGGTGCATATAAAGTGGTGAGCTGGGCGAGTTGGTCAACGTTGAACACGATGAAACATCGCGCGCAAAGAGACCAGTACAAAAGAGGATGGAACGCATAACGCGAGCCTGTCTGTGTCCTGTGTTCCTTCCTCTCGTGTCATTGTCTCCTTGAGGCTTGTGCGCTATTTTTCATCATGTTCAGTGCATCCCCTTTTTTTGCAAAGCGCTTAGGAAAGCCAATCGCTTCAATCTATGGAGGAAGCTTTTCGAATGACCACGATGCTAGAGGCTAAATATATCGAGACGTTACAAGTAATCAAATTGCTTCTAATCGATTTCATATTGGAGTAATTTTGTAATAATTTGATTACACTGATTAGAAAGTAATTAAAAGAGAAATATCAATGATTTTATATTTACACAATTTACTTGTAACCATCAGTATTGAATTTCTCCCCATTCTAATGGCGACCCTTATTTCTACAAGCTTAATGCCAGGGACTCCTCGAACCAAGTCAAAGGAAGAAAGATGGTTAACCAAAATTTGAGAAATAAGAAGATTTAAGTCCTTTATAGTTGGGTAATTCCTCATTCAAATTTGAACTAAGTACCAACAGACAGTTTTCAAACCAGCAGAAGAATTTGTGATTCGGAAAATCTCAAGTGATTGGAAAAGTAAGGGTTACTTTTCAAGTAACAGTCAATTACTTCTTGTTCTAAATGAATAAAGTAATTCAATTGCATATTTTGTAACCAAGAGTAAGTTGAATTGTAATTGATTCAAGTTTTCTTGTAACGCGTACAAGGCTGGCCGCTATGACACCGAGCATAACGTGAGCCCTTGAAACGTCATTTAACTACTCATTGACTCATTGATAAGTGTACCACTAAGGAGGCGTTAAGCTGTTGGTGGGTCACTGAAAATAAGAATAAATAAAAATAAAATAAAATGATGTCACAGCGCGGCGCAGACAGTTTGTCACAGCGAAAGGCAGACAAATTCGCAGAGCATCCCCTTTAGACTGCGGCACTCTCGAGTACTTTTGGGAAAGTAGGCGTACGAGATTTTTCAAAGTGTATACTAGCGTTGATAATCTAAATGAACTGATGGGCTAGTATGGTATACACACAACGCAAAATGACAACGAACTCGTAACATCAATTGTTCTACTCCATGTCATACCAAGTCCCATTGCATTCGACGCCGTGATTCAACGGAGAGAATCAAACAGTGTCAAAAGTGAATTGTCACGGCCTTAGTCGTTTTTGTGCGGTTACTGTAACCGGCGAAACTGTACGCCGTGTCACCAGTTTCGTGCAGTACAGGCGAAGGCAAAGCCAGGCGAAAGGACAAAGGGGCGAGCACTAGGAAGGCTGCGGCCTTCCTAGTGCTCACCCCTTTCTCCCTTCCCATGGGGAGGGAGAAAGGATCCTCCTCTCTCTTTCTCCCCTCGTCCTCTATTGCCCTCTTCTCCCGTCCCGCCGTCCAAGTCCTTGTTGAGACGTCTGGTGCATTTCCTCTCTTGGTTGCCTCCGTCTTGGGTTTTAGAAAGGTTTAACTTCAACCAGTTTGCCAGGCTTATTACGCTACCTATACTTGGCGCTCGTCTCGTCTTCTAGTTCTACTCTAGTCGGTGACAGGTTAAGAGTAAAGTGGAAGCTCCTCGAACCTCTGTCCCCTTTGGCGGAGTGATGGAGAGGAGGCGACCTCCTATCCAGCCTTCGCTCTACTAAAGTGGAAAGAGCTGGGAACTTCATTCTTAACATGTAACTGACTATAGTCCTTGCGCTTTTGGGCTGTCTTTATTTTAATAGTGTCGATACACTTTTTAAATTAAAAAAATATGTTACTACTTCGCGAATGTTCTAAAGAACTTTAATCCTTTGCAGCGTAGTATTGTTGCCTCGTGTCCTGTATGGCTCCGGCTTGAAATGACGAGGAAGACTGAATTCAAATGGAATTAGGTTCCTAACCTAGAATTATTACTTTTTCGAGGTTTAGAATGAGGGTACGTTATGCTACTTTGTATTTCTTTTTTTTTTTTTCCTCCAGAGCCATTGCGGCGTTGTGAGCAACGTATTTTGAGGATAAAATCGGTAAATTTGTGTTCAGAACTATGACGGCAACAGTGTTTTAGGTCTTACATCACAAGTCAGTGTATTATGCTGTTCCTCATTTATCTAAACGTTCCTATTTTGTTTTAATATTGCATTACCATAGTCGATTTTTGTGCGCGTTTTCTCAGCGATATCTAACTTAAATCCAGGTGATTCTCTGCATTGGAGGTCGCGTTCAGAGACAGTGAGGCCGCAGATGTAGTTTAGAATCTTATCTCTTTCTTGGCTTTTGTTCAGTTATCAACACGGCTGTACGTAAAGATTTGATCCGTGCCAAATAAAAGCGCGTAAGTCGAAGCAACTAAAAAAAGTGCGCAGCGTACAACTATGGTGCCAATAACGCCACTATAGTACACTTTAAAAAAAGCCCGTCCTTCCGCTTTTCCGCACAACACTCGGAGAGCCAATCACGGCAACTTACGGAGGTAGCTTAGAGAATGACGATGCCGAAACATATGTTTAGACCGAAACACGCAGTCTGAGTTGTGGCATTAAGTAACGCAAGTGTGACGTTTTGCATTGCTTAATGTCACAACTCAGACTGCGTTTTTTGCCCTAACAATTGTTTCGGCATCGTCATTCGCTGAGCTGCCTCCGTAAGTTGCGGTGATTGGCTCTCCGAGTGGTGTGCGGGAAAGTAGACGCACAGGCTTTTTTTTTAGAGTGTAGCCCCTGACGACAACTTGAGAAACGCAGGGCGTGGCAAGTCTCATGCATCTCATTTTCGCATCGCAGCCAATCAGGTTGCCGCGTTTGCCGATAAGAACGGCCAAGGATAAATCACGAAGCTAGAACCGTGAATTAACATATTAAGCACCGCCCTGCGTTTCTCAAGTTGTCCCTGATCATAAACGCAGAAGATCACGTTTAAGATTTCAGCGGGCACAAGAATAAACATAAATCGGGATTGAGCAAAGGAATTTCTTTTTAAATAATTGGTGAGAGTTGTAATGGCGAAAATCAACTGTCCACTATCACCCATACCTGTGGGAGCCAGTTTCGTCGTTCGGTGGGTCATTTGTAAAATAGCCTGCGTCATCGTAGAAAATTGTACTCAGGAATTGACCAAGTCGCAAGTTGGTATTGGTGTAGCAAAATGGCGTGACTGGACTGGCGTAGGGAATATGTGTGAATCCGCCGTCTGTTGTGGTTCAACGTTGGTGAAGAATGAAGTGCCTCAAAGACATACGCTACTTCACCTAGTGTCTAAAGAAATATATTGGACCTCTTGGATAATGCGCTCTTCGGAGGATGGAAGTGTATGTGGTCGAACAAGTTGGTACATTCACGCCAAAGAAACTACACGCGAATGGTATCAAACCGAGCTCGACTGGTAGAAAAATAGTTAGTTATATATTTTATAAATAAATCGTGAAATAACAAGGACGTCACAGATGGGAGGGCAGGCTCATCTGGAACACGCGTCATACTTGTAATTTAGCAGAACGCCATAAGAACTGTCGCGTTTCTGCTTCTACCTGGCCAAAGTGTCCGGAAATTCCGATATCTTTAAATATATGCATTAAAGGGTATTGACGGGACGCCATAGTGCGCCGTCCTTCACAGCTCGAGCTCAGAACTAGGCTTCAGTTATCTTCTATCGAGAACAAAAATCTTGATCGGGAGAAATGCACGACTATAGACGTTCAACGTGCGTTCAACCCAATGAAGATCGTTGTTCTTGGCAGAGGGTAAGTGGGAGCTTTACCTTTGGTAGCTAAAGAAATGGAGGACAGATCTGTAACATTCACGTTTGTTTTCTTTTGCCTCTTTATTTGTTGTTCAACGTTCTTATCGGCTCATGCTGCAATCCCACTGGCCGTAGAACGACAATGAGATGTTCGGAAATATCCCGCCCAACGTTTCTTAAGATGCCACTGACCGTCGTTCTGTACAAGCCCTTGTGCGAACAACGACCAACAATATGGCACCCCGTGTGTACCCGTTTGTCGCAGCGCATGCCGCTTCTTTTTTTCCTGTCGAAGCAGATGGTGACCTGGATGCGCGCCTTCTTTGTCGCTTTTCCAGTACCGTTCTACGACATGATGAACGTGTTGCTGTCCATCGGCCGTGCATCCGACATGGCCGTACTCACTGGAGTCATTGACACAATAATAGGTTTCGACCCCAGCCTGTCACTGTTCAATCATTTGGGTGAGTCTGCGCTTTCTATTAACTTCAATAGATAAAAATAGAATCAGCACTACGACTTCCTCCAATCTTGTTCCCATCACGCTTTAACGCGGCTATACTCGTATTCCCCTCAAGAACGGTAGTAAAAAGTAGCCCGGCTCCTCGCGGAACGTTACTAATTTTCTTCTTCATGCGTTGAGTTAAGATATCAGCAGGTGGTTTTTAGATTAGCTCTGTGTTATTTTATCGAAACGTACACGTTTCGAACGCAACAAGCATATCGCCTCTTCGTTCGACAACCAAGCCTTATAAGTACTACATCGCGCAGCGCATAAATAATGCGCAAAGCTTTTTTTTCTTTTTTCTTTTTTTTGTCTTGCCTTGAGATGACAACGAGTGTGGTGGAATGTGACCTCAGCTGTTTCAATGCAAATACGGCGCACTGCTCAAACTCAAGGGGTGGTGAAATTAAGACCTATAATATTGGTCCATACATAGCGTCGCTTAATACGAGCCTTGCGCACGTTAGAGTACGCTTACGACTGGTTGACACAAATTCCGTTTGACTGATGCCCGACGTTGTGCCAATAACGCCACCTGGAACCATCGGAGCCTGCGCATGTTGACGTCATCACAGTGAGATGGGGCGAAGACACCGATTGGATACGAGTGCTGCGTCAGGGTTCGGCTAAGCCTCGTCTTCCAACCAGCGCGTCGAAGGACGCTAGGCATCGGGCTCGTGTTCAGTACCTCAGTTGGCGCCATCCGACTTGGATGACGTTCCATGCCAAGAAGAGTGGGGCGTTCTAAGGACTTCGTTATGCTAGGTCGTGTTGATTATGGGGGCCGCTTGTAACCGCTTACGGCGAGCGTACGCTGTAGAGAGCCTAGATTGTAGAGAGGGTTCATCTCAAACCATGGGGAGCGTTCGCAATTTAATAGCGGACGCCTCCCGCGCCCAATTGGTCGTAGCTGCGCATGCGCTGCGTTGTTGCGTGGCGAGAAGGGAAGCAGGAGGAAAGGCGGAGACGATCAACGCGTCCGTCACTTCATCGCAGATCGCATTGCGAAAGCGGCCCAGAGACCACGTGACCCCGATCTATTTTTACTCATCATTCCTTCACCACGGGCTTAAGGCCCGTTCACACACTACTGTGCTTGCCTAGGACCGAATTCTTTCGATCTTCTACGATGAGAAAACAAACTGGCACGCTGGCGCCATCTTTGAGGCGACCCTAGAACTGCGCTTCACTAGAGTGAGCATTTCGCGGTATTTTGCGAGATCAAATGTGCGTACTACCCAGGTGATATTATCGCTAATAAAAATGTCAAAATATTTTTTAAGAAAACAAATAATGATGCACACACAAACAGAATATATATACGGTAACTGCGAGTGTTCCACCGCTATAAGATAGAAGGAGCCAGTGTGTTATCTCGTCGTTAGCGATTTTAAGAGGTCTGAAGGCACACAGTTGCAAGCAGTCTCAAATATGTGAACCAGCCTTAAACATGATTTTGACAATTTTATTAGCGACCGTTTCCCACAGCATAGGACGGAATTTGACCCTCGCAAATACTGCAAAACCTTCATAATAGTTCCAGGGAAATAGAATGCCCGCGCCTCAGTGTGCTCTTCGCTTTTTCCTGGATAATATTCAATACAGTTTTCTCCATTTGGGTGTTACCGACGCCCGACAAAACCTCTCCGCAGGATTCGATGTGGGTCTGAACGACAAGCTTGAGAACATCGCTAAAATGTACGAAAGACTTGGTGTCAATGGACACCGCTGGCAAGGCGACGGTATCACAAACTGTCTGACCAGCCTGCGATGTCCACTCCGACTGAAGAAAACGATTTCCTACAGAGATACCAACAAGAGAGAGAGTTACGTCGACAAGGTTTACTACTGGACCGTAGACAAGGTGGCGACCATAAGGAAGACGATCCGGTGAGGAGACGTGATTTTGTTTCAATATATATTTGCGTTCCGCTTTCGTTCCCCTTTTTTGTGGCTAATATCGATATCAACTTAGAAAAGACCTCTGTCACGTTTATAAGTTTATTATCCATATAACGTTTTTCTTTTTGCGTGGCACTGTGTGAATTAGATGTAATACATTACAGGTGTTTAATAGACAACAATGCAATGCATTGTATGTGTATAATCAACAACAGCAAACGAAGGCAAAAAAAATCAGACGCCGCAAACTATATTGGACGTATCGTTGGGTTATACTTCGGCTTGAAATTACTGAGGAGTTGCTCTCTACTCCAGCCGGACAGTATTATGTAGTATACAAGATACACAAATAGCACTTTAAGCACAGTCATATTTTATTGTGCGCTTTGATTACATCAGATTTATCTAGTATCAGTAGTGACAACTCTTCGTTGCACTTTGTTCGTCTTGAATATTCGTTCATCTAACCCCCTCCTTCGCACGTGCTGTTAACTTTACATTAAAACTTCTACATCTAACTTTTTTTTTTTACTTTTGGTTCCAAGTGTTGCATGAGCTGGAGCCTATCAAGTGCTTGAGAACCTCGATTTGCACCTCAGCAATTTACACTAACGCGCGTAGCGCTAAAACAATAGCGACACTAAAAATATCTAAAGTGTACTTCTTTGTTTCATAAAAAAAAAAACAGGAGATGAAATAATAAATATATAGTGATCTATACCAGGGCTTTGAATGTTCAAGGATTCACATATCCTGACCTGGACAAACTTTGAGCCATAAGCAACTTCACGACTCTTTATTTTAATTATTATTATTGCGAGCTGGTTCGGCGCAAATGGGACGAATTTTCATATAGTCACAAACAGAACCACCTGCGTGTACAGGTGGCAGACACAACAATGAGGGATGTTCTGGAATGCGCAGACACCGTGCTATGAGATACTTACCCCGTGCAACATGGCGATAAGTGTAATCTTGAGCCAATGAAATCTAAAAGACAAACCCTGCGACCATCCCCCCCCCCCCTCTCCCCCAAAATGTCACCACTAGTAGATCCACGCACCGCGATCCAGAGGTTGCGTCACCACAACCGCCAACCCGTCTCCCAGCGTCTCCCAACGAGCGCGACGTTAGCAGGTGACGGCGCCAAGACGGTCGCGTTTGCCCCCATTGCGGCCACTCTCGTCGAGCTTCAGAGTGTTTGCCGCTTGGGGCGAGCCGAAGATCCGTTAACAATGACGTCACGCACAGGCCTTGCGTTCCACGAGGTCTTGCTTCCCCCTTGGGGCGTGTCGGAGATCCACTAACTATGGCGTCTCGCATAGGCCTTGTCTTCCGCGCGTTCGTGCATCAGCGGGCACCAAATTAGGCACGTTTTGTTCCGTACCAAGTTCCCATAGCTCTAGTAATTCGAAATTACGAGGAGAGCAAGTCGTCTGCTTTTTGCGCAGGAGTTGCGGTAATGTCAGAGCGACGCCAAACTCTCATTGGCTTTGGCTTTGAAGGATAGTGGGTAGACCTCAATGCTAGATGCCTTGAGGTCTACCGACTATTTTTTCTCGAATCAGCCAATAAGAGCTCAGCGTTCTGACATCATTGCAACCCCTGTGCAAGAAGCAGACGAACTTGCGTTCCCTATAGGTTCGTGAAGATCTGACCGATCTGTGCTGTACCAAGTTTGCCAAATCTTTCTAGATGCTAACTTAACATTTGGGCGCTCCTAAGACCGGTGGAAACAGAAGGGAACCAAATAAGGCACACAATTAAATCAGAAACCTTGTCTGGTCTTGTCTTTTCCCCCAGGCCTTGCGAACAAATATGTCCAGTCGCTAATGAAATAGGACGAAAACGTGCAAACTCGTTCACCGCATACTCTCTCGTTCATTACACTTGTTAGTGTCTTCGGTTAGCGATAGCAGTTAACTGTCGTCTGAACATTTATCTGTTATATTCATCCTCAGGAGTTCCGTACACACATTGCGCTTACAAGTACAGCCTGGCGAAGTGTGTGCAGTATTGCACATGTTCCTCAAAAAAAAAAAAGGAACGAAAGCTCGCTTCTCGTTTCTTCTGATTTTTAAGACGGGTTCCCGTTCAAATTCCATATGTGAAACAGAAACTCGTTCCCGTAACAGTTAAAAAATGGAACTTGTCGTTACATATACGTTACATTTGTATTTTGCTGATTACCATATTTAGTTAGATCGAGCAATGTTCTCTTCGGTTTTTATCCATCCCATCAAATGGCAACGCACGAATTTCAATGCCGTGACGGAAAGGCACCGGAAGAAAACAAGCGGATCAGGGTTTTATTTGGTAATATATTCACCTTTACGAATCTTATCTCTTAACCGTATTCATGGTTTTGGTGGGCGATTCAGACGAGCCAAATGTACTCTTAACCCACATTACACGAGCGTTCCACAACAACCTGACAATTTCCAATCAAGCAAAGTCTCTTGTTCGAACTTAACAACAGTTGCTTCTCGATGTTGCTGTCCGCAAAACGAGCAAGTGAAAAAGAGGGCAGGCCTTTTGGAAGGTCAATCTTGAAAACTGCAAGTCGTTTTTCGTGAAGGTTTCATTCGTTGTTCAGTCTGGCCGGTCTTGGATTTTAGGGTGTATGAGGATTCGTGGAAGCAAATAAAGTAACCGAGTTTGAAACTTCCGTATTTCTGTGTATTTTCCTTCGACTCCAAATTTTGCTTGTGCACCGCAGTCTCGGGCACTGAAAAAAGAATCAATGTCCACTCGACTGTTACCAAGCGATGACTACGCAAAATAAACCCTAAGATAAGTAACCAAAACATTAGCGAGATCCTGGTATTCGTAAAGATATTGTTTTTATACATTTAGAATTTCCCCTCTTGAAAATAAATTACAAATTACCCCACTGGACAAAAAAAATGAAAGCCATTTCTTTTTCCCTTTCAGTAAAAATGTAACCAGTTCCCGTTCGAGTTCCACCGATGCAAAATGGAACGGCCTAAAAGCAATGCGTTCCAGGAACGCCGTTTCATACAACACTCAGTGTGCGTACGTGTTTTAACGCAGAATGGCATCATTTCAAAAGCTAACTAGTGATGACATCTGCGGGACAGAAGAGCAGGCTTTGTCTTTTAGCTGGTATTGCTTGGCAGCAATTTTGAGCGTGACAGTTTGATGAATAGGTCAAAATGCAATTGGAAGTTATCAACAGCTTTACTGGGAAAACTTAATCAAGTCAGATGTACTTTAACTTAATATTTGTTTTCGCACGTTTCTTTGCAGGAGGGGTGTGGACGCTATCATCACGAACAGACCAAAACGCGTGACAGGCGTTCTAGCGGAAGACGAGTTCAAAAAAACTGTTCGACTCGCAACCTACCGGGACGACCCTTGGATGAGGCTTCAGAGTAAAACAACGGAGCGCAGACCCAATGAACTTGATTCAGACATGGACGAAATGGGGGATGAAGCCAGCGAGTTCGATTTCGAGCCTTTTTCCTACCCGTTGTCTCCTAGAAGACCACTCACTTCCCGGGGTCCTGCCATACGAGATAGTTACAGGGTATGGCCACAGTACAATCCTTTGAGCCCATTCTACTAAGCCAGGTCACAATGAACTGTCTGCCGAACATATTTACGACGAATTAAATATTGTTTGAACTTTGAAAACTTTGTCGTGTGCCGTGTAACATGCGCTTGCAGACCCGTTCTACTTTAGTCCTAAGTATATAGCCAGAGCAGCAAACACCAAACGTTTCTTTTTTAAGCTGGTAAATATCGCTTCGCAACGTTTGACAACAAGTCACGTATTGCTAGGTACTATTCGTGGATATCATCTTTTGTAAAGAGTCCTACCTGTTTTATAGTTATCTGTGCCCGCTACTTTAAAATAGACAAATAAATTCGTATTCAAGTTTGACTTAAAACGACGGAACAAAAGTACTTATTGGCCGACGTGGGACACCGCGCAGTCCTAGAATGGTTACTACGATGGGCATTGGAAATTACTAAAGTGCCTTCCCTTGTTTGTATCTCCAGTCTCGGGTTTACAACTATATCATATTGGCTGATTATATGTTACCTGTTTTTATTTTTTGAAACCATGATTTTTCTTTTTTTAAACCGTTATTGTTTCAAATTAGCTTCCATAAACGGTTACCCTAGTCTTAGTTTTTTTGGGAAAGTGTATACGCGAGGCGTTGGTAGAGTAATTCCCCTTCATGGACAACAAATAACTTGAAACTTGTGACTGGACGCAGCTGGAAAGCCGCAAGCCCAGGAATTGATGTCCGACCGCGCTTACCTTGTATGTGCAGGAATAGGTTTCTACTTTTTGTTTACATATATTAAATACAAAAGACATAGAAGGTATTATAGAATTATTAAGCTATGTTATATGTGTACCTCGAAACAAGGTACCACGGCCTCGAGGAGATACTAAAACAAATACAACAATACCTTATAACTCAAAATGATTACAGGAGCATTTGTTTTGTTTCTTTTAGTATAATGATTTGTTAATAACTAACTCTGCTGTCAATTTCACAGGGCGGCAGAATACTGCAAATGGCCGTTTTCAAGAAAATTTTATTCCTTTTTGAAGGGAAACTTTCCGTAGAAAGTTGCCCCTCAATGTGAGAGGCAACTTTCTTCCATATTGTGGGCATTAAAGTTGTCATTGTCATTTTCGCTCGCTTTGTTCTTTGTCCAATCAACTACATTCAAACTTTCAGTCCAAAACTCTTCGAAACACGACACCACCTTTTGTAGGCCTCCTGCAACTGACGTCACTTACAGTTAGACTCGAAACCAACATTGTCGTCCGCTTTCTGTTTCTTGGCGCCAAGTTGGAGGCATTTGGTGTCTTATTGAAACAGCAGTAGTGCCATAGAGTCCGAGCCGTCTTTGTTTAACCAGATTCCAGGACATTTTCTTGTTTAAGTCAATCGCAGAGGTTCCTCACCTGACACGAAGTGCACTCCACAAACGCTCAGTTGGGGTTCGAAGCTCCTCTGTCGAAATCATAAAGTTAAATATAATAATCTAGAGTGAAATACTCCACGCATTTGTTCGCTTCGGAACGGTGGGGCATAGACGCGTGTATCAGCAATACCAGTTGGTGGTCCCGATGAGCCCGTGTCGCTGGTGGCGCCTTAATATGCTTAAAGAGACACTGACAGACCAAAAAATGTTTTGTTTTTGTTTTTGTTTTTGGTTTGCCAGGCGATTCATTATGGGGTTTGAAGACTACCCAATTAATATTTTGCTACAGCGTCATGTATATTTTTAATAAAGTCAAAAAACGCAACAGCTTGAAAACAAAACCAAAACTAAAGAGGTGGCGGAAGTCACGTGACGGTGATACTTTTTTCTTCCCAAACAACGCATTTGCAGCTTATTGGAAGCCACGAAAACTGGGTATCATACTTCTTTTTTTTTATTTTTAATATTGTGTGCGTGCCATCGATGACCTACGACTTTGATTAAATTTGGTGGTAATGTCTAAATCTTAGAAAACGGCCCGTTACCACTGAGAAGAGAGTGAGCGCGACTCAAGCCGGCCAGTTCTCAATCGGCGGTTTTTCGGCGGAAAGAGATCGAATTTTGAGCCGCAAATTCTGTTCCGGGTAGTGGGGCTTTCATATGTCATGTACAACTAAAAACCTCGGCGAGCATAAATACCCTGTCAGTGCCCCTTTAAAGAAGCTGCAAGACATCACGTGTAACGTTTCTATCTTCTATTTCTTTCTTTTTTCTCTTTTTTTCACTCTGCAGAGAAACACTGGAAACACGCATTGCCAAACTTAAACAAAATTGGCAAGCGCTCGAGCAACTTCAACTTGTCGCTGCAAAACGAACAGGCCTAACCTATTGTCAGCGTGCTTTCGTTCTCTGCTCTTTTGTTGCTTTCTTTCTAGTTCTTCCTCTCGCGACCGGAGATGTTAGCTCCAAAGCTGGCGTATCCGTCGGAGCCACTGATCTCTATATCTATTTGCTGGATCGCGTTTGACCAGCTCCGCCTATGGACCGGAATGCTGTCACTTGCGGCCATCTTTAGGTAGAGTTATATATTCTCTAGCCATCATAGTAATATGGCGGACAGCGCAATGGCGGCAGGGTGCCATAAAATAGCCGTGGATCTAGTACACTGTACCGTGGGAGATATTTCGTGCTTGATTGAAGTTCATTTCATTTCATTTCATTTCATTTATTTTTCCCTCAGGGCCCGAGGGCATTACAGAGGGGAGTGGGTTACATAATATAAAATAAATCTAAGATATGCACATGAAACAGAACGAGAAAAATAACAATAGGTTAGTCAAATTCTGGAATATAAATATTGGCAATACAGTTTTTAAACGCCACACCATCGGAAATCGATACCGCAGAGGCTGGAAGGTGGTTCCAGTCAAGAGTGGTGCGAGGTATGAACGAACTATGAAAAGATGTAGTTTTACACGAGGGTACGTCCATTTTATGTTGATGATCGAGACGTGACGAGATGTAAGGTGCAGGCGTTAGTAACCTTTCACGTAGGAAAGGGTTATGATGGTATAGCTTGTGATACAGGCATAAGCGAAAAATTTTTCTGCGCAAAGCAAGCGTTGGCAGTTTTAGGCCCAATTTCATTGATGTTACGCTAGCGATGCGGTGATAATTAGTGAGGATGTAGCGAGCAGAACGGTTTTGGACCGCTTCAACTGCAAGGGTTAGTACGTCAGTACCGGGGTCCCAGATGGAGGAGGCATAATCCAGTTTTGAGCGAACGAGTGTTTTGTAGAGAAGTAATTTTAGCGACACAGGAACTGTTGAAAAATTCCGTTTTAGGAATCCGAGCATGCGGTTAGCATTATTTGTTATGTATTGGATATGAGAATCCCAAGAGAGAGTGGATGAGATATGAACGCCTAAATATTTATAACATGAAACGTGCTCCAAAGAAACATTGTTAAAAAAGTAGCGAGGCGTGTCATTTTGGACACGGGAAATTCTCATTACTTTGCATTTGTTAACGTTAAGCTGCATATTCCACATGTTACACCATTCTAACACACTGTTAATGTCTGACTGAAGAGAAATGACACCTAAATTATTAGTTACTTCACGGTATATTACACAGTCGTCGGAGAATAAGCTGATTGAGGACGAGACACTGGCGGGTAGGTCATTTATAAATATAAGAAAAAGCAGAGGTCCCAACACAGAACCTTGGGGAACCCCGGATGTTACAGAAGATAAAGACGATGAAGTGTCATTTACAAAAACAAATTGGGACCGGTTAGTTAAAAAGGCATGAATCCAGGAAAGAACGTTAGCGTCGATATTAAGTTTGCTTAATTTGTGAAGTAGAAGCCTATGTGAAACCTTATCAAAGGCTTTCGAAAAGTCCAGGAAAATACAGTCGGCCTTCGAACTACGATCAAGAATGCGATGAAGATCATGTGTGAAAGTTAGTAACTGTGTTTCACATGAAAAGGACTTACGAAACCCGTGTTGCGCGGGAGAAAAGAAGTTGTCCGATTCTAAAAAATTTACAAGATGTGAGAAGATTATATGTTCTAAAATTTTGCATGAAATACTTGTTAGAGATATCGGACGATAATTGAGAGGAATATGCTTACCACCAGTCTTATGCACAGGCACAACCTTTCCCCCCTTCCATTCGCCGGGTAGAACACCAACACTAAGAGATTGCTCGAAGAGTTTAAATAGTATAATGGACGAATATTCCTTGGTGTTTTTTAGGAACTTCGAGTTTATATCATCAATTCCTGCAGAACAAGACATTTTTAGATTATCGACTAGGTGAATAATGCCGGCAACGTCGAATATAATCGGAAGCATGGGTGAAAAATCATTTTGCAAAAGCAGTGGCACAGTCGATAAATGGTCATGGGAAAATGAGGCGACAAATGTAGAATTTAAAATAGACGCACAGTCACTAAGCGACACTGGTTCACCAACGTCGCTAAAAAAAGATACCGAGGGTTTTTCATTGCAATTGACCACATTCCAGAACTGCCTAGGGTTATTAGTACGCATGGATGGCAGAGTTACAGAAAAGAAATGAGCCTTCGCGTTCTGAACTGCCATTTTGTAGATATTAGAAGCATTGTAATAATCGGACCATTTAATGTCATTATTTGAAAACTTAGCGGTTCTAAACTTCCTCTGTTTCTTGTTAGGAAGCCTTTTTAGCGCAACGTTAAACCAAGGCGCTTTTGAAGGTACGGAGAGATTCCGTAACGGTATGAACTTGTTAGTGAGACGCACTACTTCCGATTTAAATAATTGCCAGTTTTTGTCAACAGAACCCTCAGAAAAGCGCAATAAGAAAGAATCAAGAAACACACAAAGTTCATTATTGATAGCCGCGTAGTCACCTTTACCATAGTCACGTATTCGCTTGAGACTCGTAAGCGAGCTTCCAGCAGGAACATTAAGGAAGAAATGTATTATAGAATGATCACTGAGACCCTCCATGTTGCTGATGGAAGAAATTAAAGTAGGTGATGTTGTTAGTACTAGATCCAAGATGTTGGATGCGGTTGGAGTGCTTCTGGTAGGAAGAGAAACTAGCTGGGTAAAACTGAAATCATTGCAAAGATTTATG